TTCTCATAATTTATGTTCTTGTACATTTATGCTTTCAAAAACTAGGAGAACCAAAAGTCATGGGAGATTAATTACCCTAGAGATTCATGTCCTTCATCTAGCATTTATCGAGGTAAGGAAAGAGTGGGTAGTCTCGCTCTGGACATGGGGTATATGCTAAATAGTGAGATTGACTTCTAATCTATTTTCTATTGCATGCGTTGTATGAAGAGGAAAATTCCAAATATGTGTTAATTTCCTTGTGTTTTTGTCTTCCATGTGATTCTTGAGTACTTTATTTGATATTATTAACATGTGTGTTTAATTATGTGTGTCAAATTAATCTTGTGAATTATGAATCTTGAATTGTTCATGGTTTCCTATATATGGTAATAACCCTAAAGGGATGCATTTGTGATGATTATATGAGAAGTTGATATGAGCATATAAATATATGTACTTATGCCTTTTAGAAGTGTAGCATGACCTTTAAAATGTTTTTACTAATTGAAATTGTAAAGTTAATAATTGATACTTATTGTATGAAATTCTTGTTTTTGTTGAGTGTTGTATTTTTTATACGACGTCAGGTGCCACCTTGGGCTTGTTGAGCGTCATTATGGTTGAGAGTAAAGCTTGTTCTATGTTCTATTTGCATTGGGAATGGGTTGGTCCATGTTGGACGTGGGAGCTCTAGGGGCTCCTGTGGTAATTAATTTCGTCGAGTGTGAACTTGGTCACATACGTCGAGCATAGTCCAACTCGAGGGCGTGTGTTCTTTGGATGCTCCACGCTGAGCACGACACGAATATCGTCAAGCACTGTCTTACTTTTTGTAATTTCTCTATTTGTGCAATGCTATGTTATTAATAATTATAATCCTTATACTATCTAATGTTAATAACTATTTGAGGTATTTTACTATACTAATGATGGGATTGTGAACCATATATGAATTGAATGATTTTGCACTTTGTGGTATCTTAATGTGTATGTATCTTGTAAGAGTCATATGATGAGAAGTCTAAGCAAAACTTAGCTATGATGTGATTGTGAGATTAAAGGAATGGATGTACAATTGTCAATATGTATTATGATAATATGATAATGCATCAAGGCTTGTAAAACATGCATCATGTGCATAAATGTTTTTGGATGTGTAAGATATGAAATATGCTACCAAAGAATCTCCTCTTGTGTAAAAGCTTAGAAATTTATATCCTTAAGGACTATTGGGTTTGGGAAGCCCCAGTCTTGCTCATTGTGTGTATGAGGTGGAACTTGCATGACATAGTTGTTTTGACAAGACCTTGGTCTATCTCCTTCTAATGTAGAGTGTAATAAGGGTGTGACACCACATGATCTCATAGGTTACTCTATGTGTTATCTTATAGCAATACACCATGATGTGATTTTACTAACACCACATGCATGAGCATTTTGCAATCTGTGTCCATTGTATTAATTACGTGTCAAATGAAACTGTGTGGTGATTTATTGGTGCCTTGTGATGGAATATATTGTATTACTAGTTGTGATGTGCCTTATTGTTATATGATAAATTATGATACTATGTTATGTTGTTGTTATGTTTTAGTTGCCTTACTATATTGTTGCGTGTTTTACTATCTGACTATATTATATGTTATGAGTCAGAGTGAAATATTTTTTACTTCCTATTTCTTATGTTTGTTTATATGAATGTTATTGTAGGTGAGATTTCAACATGATGTTGATGATGTCGACTACGAGACTTAAACCTTGCTTTTAAGTTCATGCTTTGATAAGATGTGACAATAGAGTTTAGTTAGAATTTGATTTCTATTTCGTTATGTCTAGGATAGTTAGTTTTTTTATTATTGATTTTAGTTGATATTCAGTTTTATTGTTGTTTCTAGTTGGTTGAATGTGATATCTTCTTGTCAAACTACGTTATTTTCATTAATTATGGATTCCTTTCATTCAATTTACATATTTTATTATCTATGATATGCAAGATTGAGGGTCTAACAAGTATAGATGTTAGTTTTATATAGTTGATAGTCTTAGAAAATTAGAATTTACATGCAAAGGGACCGACACTAACACCAAACTTGCAAGTGTCATGCGGAGGGCTCTTGGACCAACATCAAATCCCTTGAACACACCAAAGACAAAATTGGCTCTAATGTCCATCGACAGATACAAAATGGTCTCACAAGTGATTTTGTATCTAAGAAACAATTTACCGATTTAAAAAAAAAAAATTCCACTAGCGGAGGGTCAAGATGGGTGGCTAGGCAATGGTATTGAGCAACAACGATGTACTCAATGTTTTGAGGGTAACCTGGAGCTTGAAGGATGGCATACCAATTATGGTGGTGATTGATTTGGGTCTCATCACTTAATATGGTGTCAATTATCATGAGTAGGAGTAGAATCCTCAAAAATAGTCTGATCCAATGACTTGATAAATCGGGTTTCAAAATAATAGCTTAAAGAGAATTGGACTAATTAGACTAATAGTGGAAAAAAAGCTTTTAAAATCGGTTATTTTCAAATTTTAAAATCGGCTCCGTAACCAATTTTAAAAGAGCCGATTTTAAAAGTTAGACTTTTAAAATCGGTTAAATAACCGATTTTAAAAGTTAACTTTTAAGATCGGTTTTATAACCGATCTTAAAAGTGCTGGCTCTGAAAAAAATTAAACTGGAACGAGCCGTTCCAAGGAATGGGCCGTTCCAGGTTGTTAAAAAGACTACTTGAAAAACGGACATCAGAACAGCCTGTTCTCCTTTCAGTACAGGTCGTTCTGCAAGGAGAACGAACCGTTCTTCTTGCAGTACGGGCCGTTCCAGATTTAAAATTTACTCAAAATGAACCTACAACGAAAATAGAGACAAGAGAAGAGCATGAGAAAATGAAAAGAGACACAAGAAGAGCATGAGAAGACGAAAACGAAAATGACAACGAAATTTACGTTATTAGAGACTTTAGAAAATGAGAGCGCAAGAGAGTAAAAAAAGGAATGAAGGGAAAGATTAAAGAGAATGATAATGGAGGGAAATATAAAAGGTTTCTAACGATACTTTTAAAATTGGTTATTTAAGAACCGATTTTGTATACTACATACAAAATCGATTCTGAAAACCGATTTTAAAAGTAACACTTTTAAAATCGGTCATAAAATAATCGATCTTAAAAGTACTTTTAAGATCGATTATTTTATGACTGATCTTAAAAGTTATGTCTGATATAACTTTTAAAATTAGTTTTTTTGTAACCGATCTTAAAAGTTGTGTCAGACATACCTTTTAAGATCGGTCATAAAATAACCGATCTTAAAGTACTTTTAAGATCGGTTAAATTTTAACCGATCTTAAAAGTATTCATATTATTTACAAAATTATCATCGCGTTACTTTTAAGATCAGTTATCTTATGACCGATCTTAAAACTCTAATTTTAAATCTAATTTTTGCACTAGTGTAAATATTTTCTTTTTCTCTTTGTAAAATTTATAATAATAAAGAAAAAATAGCTAGGCCAATTTGACCTTGAACACGGGCTAGCACCTAGCAGATAGGCTGCGAATTAAGTGGCTTACTATTTTAAGGGTTTATTTGCAATTTTGATAGCTTTAAAAATCGATTTAACTGACTTGTTAAAAGCATTATTTATACCCTAAATACGATAAATATGTTGGATCACCGCTAGTGGACTACTTGGGTGTGCGTCCACCTTAGAAATAGGGGTGTTCATGGATCGATTTTTTGAAAAATCCGAACCGAACTAAATCAAACCGTTTTATAAAAGTGGATCAGTTAACAGATCCATTTTTTATAAAGAGAATCAGTTTGGTTTTTTTAAAATATGGATTAGTTTTTTTAAAAATGGATCGGTTCAGTGCGGTGCGGTTATCCACTTTTTACTCACATATGAATCGGTTTTTTTAAAAAGTCAAACCGATCTACTTTGTAAAAATGGATCGCATAACTGAACCGATTTTATAAAGTGGTTCGGTTCGAATTTTTTTTCAAAATGGATCAGATCGGTTATGGATCGGTTCAGATCAATTTTGATTTTTTGCACACCCCTACTTAGAAGTCGTCGTACTTTATAAGCCCTAAAGTACCTTCTTTTTTTAGTAGTATTTTGTATTTTTCAATCAACAACAAAAGATTAATTTCTTTGAGACTTAATTATCTTTCTTGACATTTTACCGAATCCATCTTATATTTTAATCTGAAAATAATTAAAATTCACTATGAAAACTTGATCAAATGCTTTGTTTACAAATTTACACATTTGTTCAAAATTACAAAGATAAGGTTATTGTTAAAGTATTTGATTTTAACAAATCAACTCTGAAATTTAGTCACTAACCAAGATCTAATTACTCTAATTTATCAAATTAAGATTTTGACTCAACTATATCTATATCACTAAAAAAAGTGTTTATAATAACACAATATTTATCATTAAAAATTATACTTTTACCTAAATTATAGATACAAAATATGTGTAGTATATTGTTAAAAAATGTAAATATAAGATATAGTGATATACATAAAAATCGTTGAATCTCATTCAAAATCAACATTAAAATTATGCATAAATATATGTCAAATAAATTTATATTAATATATATTTATAATAGTACATTTTGCACGTAATTACATGTAACATTTTTTATAGTGTATGTTATTTAATTGAAAGTTAAACATTGCTCATTTGACAAAAAACAAGAAGGAACCTTTTTTTTTTTTGTTTTAGTCTCATCTCTCATGTGATAAAAACAAAATTAGAAATTTATTTTTTCAACATTTTATATAACAGAAATTTTTAATCAAATTTCCACCATGAAGAAAATTAACGAGATAAACTATTAATATTCAACAGAATTTCAAAATCACATATAATTCCAACCATTCTCACTCCAAAATCAAAACATCATGTTTGAATACAAACCGAGGAACGTGTCCAATTGAATCAACAAAAATAATAATAATAATAATAATAATCAACTATAAAACTCGAATATATATTGTATATATACATATGCATCCAAAAGGGGGCAACACAAACACAAGCCACGCCTTCAGATAACTATAAATAGACTAATACATCAACTAAAAAGTTTGTGGGACACTACAAAAAATGTCACCAATGTCAAAACTCTCTGGAATTTCGAACTCAAACAAGTCACCACAAAAGCTATCCTTTTCTTCCTCCACTCCCCTTTTCACATACGTGGATGATGAATCAAACCCCATGTTTTGGCTTGCATTGTTCATGGAGTGCACCAAAGCAGGGTAATTCCCTAACAAACCAACTTGGTTTTGTTGCAAAACAAGGTTCTCATTCTCACCCAAATCAGGAGTTGAACTCAGTGGAGGAGAACTTGAACAGCTCAAGTTTCCCGAGAAACCTTCTACAGGCCTTTGAAACTGAGTTAAGTCTTGTGGTGGGGCACCTTGGCTTTGTGCATAGTTTTGTGAAGCCAAATTAGGGTTCTCATCGTTCTTGATGGATAGAAGAGAGGCAGTGGCAGACAAGTTCATGAAACCTTGGTTCATCAAAACATGGGCACCTAACAAGCCTTGCATGTTCAAAAGGGAGGGGTTCCCTAACACTGACCTTAAAATAGAGGACATGTCAAGTAGGTCAAGGCGTGGGGCATGTGTAACTGGGTCAATTCCCATTCGAAGCAACCTCTTTCTAATGTGGGTGTTCCAATAATTCTTTATTTCATTATCAGTTCTTCCTGGTAACCTAGCTGCTATAGCTGACCATCTAAATAAGCCATGACAAGTTAATCATATTAGTTAATTAGCATTTAGCATATACTTATAGAACACAATTTAATGTTGAAGCTTAGTTTAATTAAGGGAAATGCTCATAGACTTCTTACTTGTTTCCCAAGATACTGTGCAACTGAATAATAATATCTTCTTCTTCTAGGGAGAATCTTCCTCTCTTTATATCGGGTCTCAGGTAATTTGTCCATCGAAGGCGACAACTCTTACCACACCTTTCTAGACCTTAATTAAGTAACATATAATTAATTTGTTAGTTAACAGATAATAATTATAATAATTGAGTACATAGAAAAAGATAATCGTGTAAGAGGTACCAGCACTTTTAGGGAGCGCTCTCCAATTGCCTGGTCCATGAATCTGAATGTGGTTGATGAGTTTAAGGTCTTCCTCTGGTGTCCACGGACCCTTCTTGAGTCCATTATTGTCGCAGCAAGGAACTCTTCCCATTTACAAAAGTATATAGATGAAAAGTACGAGATGGTTCTTAATGTCTTATTACAGAAGACAGAAAGAGGGTTCTGAAACACAAATTAAAAGTGAACTTGTGTTGCTTGTCGTGATGGCTGAGACGACCAGTGCTGTTTTTATAGCACAGTAAAGCAGGGTTAGATCATTGGATGTTCCAAGTCAACATATTTGGCGCCGGCCATGTCACACATGTCTCTCTCACCGATAATCTTGCGCATCATTGTATTGTATGTGTCTTAATTATATATATTTTTCTGAACTAATGATACGAAATATTAAATTATTTTTAATTTTTTTAATTTATAAATTTAATTTATATATTAAAATTTTTTAATTTAATAATTAAATTATTAAAATTTAATATAAAATATAAATTATTGATTCATATATTAAAAATTAACTCACATTTTAATATCACTATTATCAATAAAAGTTGATTCAGATAATAAGGATCAAACTCATTGTTGTAAGTCATCTTTTATAAAGATGAGTTTAATTATTGTTACTAACATAAAAACCTTGTTGTAAGTCATTATATATTGAATTGAATTAAAAAGGAAACATGCAGAGGCAAGCAAAATATATATATTATTATTCTGTCTTGCACCACAATTAGTTACAATATATATAAATGAAATGTATTTAAAAAAGTTAGTAATTGATTATAGTCTTACATATAACCGTGTTTTATCCTAATATATAGTCTTTCTTCTAGCAAAAGGATTACATCCATTATCCATATACCATTTATGATTGTTTGTGGCAATGGCTCATGAACCGTGGCACGTGACATTGAACAGGATGAGGTTAATGAAATTCAAAATTGATAAGGACATGGAAGGGAGCTGACTTTTTTCATTGTAAAACCAGTGAAGGGATGAGGTTGAGAAAACGATTTTTGAACTTTTGAGTTTGACCTTTGTTTTCATCTATTGTGAGGAATAATGGACGGTACGGTTGTTAAGTCCCCTTAACAACATTTGCAGAAAATATGCTCTACTGTTTTTCTTTTTCATTACACTGCTTCTTTGTGGGTTTCGTTTGACTAACGTTGTTTATCAAATTTTTGCATGCAAGGGTGTGAAGAGGGGAAGAGAAGACAGAAAAATGTGATAGAAATAAATATAAATAATACTTATAAAAAATTATTGTTTAATGAACGTTATTTATTTATTTATTTTTTCTTTTGGTTCTGATGTATGCGTGACGTTAATTAGTTGTCTAAGCGTCATCAGATAAATGGCGTCCTTTGCTCACAAATCTTCCAATTCGTTAATTTGTATTTAAATTCAATTTAATATTTTACAAATCATTTTTATTTCAATTTGGCCTATTTTGTGCACCAATGTAGTATTTCCTTACACAATTTTCAAATGCAATTTGGAACAAAATAGTTTGGTTTGCTAGATATATATATGTGACATCATCATTATCATAACTGGTGAAATAAAACACTGTTGCCTACATTTAACAAATTAAATGAGAAAGATATGAGAATTTATAAGTGGTTTATAACAGTTAAAGATTAAATACGTGGGAGACTCAATAAAAAAAATGAGAAAATGAAATTAAAATAGAATAGAATAATATATAGATTATAGTTTATAGAAATTAATCGAGTAAATGGATCTAAAAAGTGGGAACCAAATGTGTGTATCCTCAATTAATATATGTATAGAGATGTATAGATAACTAAAATACTACTGTATTAATTTTTCAGATGAACAATAACATGTAATTTATCATTAATTAAAAAAAAACATGTAATTTAAGGATTGCATAATTTTTTAATTATCGGTAAATAAAGCTAAATCCAGAATATTAAATGAAGTTTTAATATTATATGTATTTTATTTGAATAATTTAAATTCAAATTAAAAAGTTTATTATTAATAAGATTAAAGTTTGACCCAGAACAAATTCCAAGCATGAGTAACAAAATGACACGGTTACGTACACCCTATGATGAATCAAACTTAATGTAAAGGGTTACAAACTCACCCAAACTTCTCAACTAACTTAACTAAATCTTTGTGTACGCCTAATGATTTATCCAGAAGGAAAACGTTATCATAAACTGTAATTTAATACAAAAGAAATTATAAAGGCTTTTGCATGAAAATCTATTTTTATATTCTTGAAATCAATATCATATTAGTGCAAATTTATTTTTAAATTACGTTGAATTTATTTTAATAAAATAAATTTTAAATTATTAAATATAGGTTTAAATATGTTTTTAGTCCATCAAATTTAAAATAAATTTTTTCAAATTTCTCAAATTTAAAATTAATTTTTTTAGTTCCTATAATTTTAAAAAATCTTATATATTTTAATCCTTTGTCAAATATTATTGCATAAAATATAATACTAATACTCCTGTTAGTTAAAATACTACATTTAAACCTAGTTAATATTACATAATTATCTTAATTTATTACTTTTAAGTATGTTATTAATGATTTAATAGATTAAAATAAGATTTTTAAAAATTACAAAAATAATAATAATTTTAAATTTGAAGAATAAAAATAAATTTAAAAGACTAAAAAATATTTAAATCTTAAATATAATTAAAACATATGCTTAATTACATTAATCGTAATTCCTGACTTTATATTAGAAAGTGTGCATAACGAAAAAAAAAAGTAATTGCTTGCATTAAACAGAAAATTCCTTACCATTACTTCCTCCATTTCGAATCTTTGTGTGTGTGTGTTTTTTTTATATAATTATTTTCATATATAGATTAAGAAAACATTAAATTTATCTACATTTAAATTAAATTATCCTCGTTTATTAATTCTTCGCTCAAAAGTAACAATAAAATTTTACTTAGAAGTACTTAATCTAATCTTAATTACGTAACTACATATTTCTTTTTTGCTGCAATATTATTTTGATACAGTTAATTACTCAACTACATACATGAGTATAATTCAGAAAAATCATATAAAATATATTAAAATCTTAAAAGAACCAAAGTTTTGAAACAAAACTAAAATTTTAACGCACAAAGTTTTGAAATGGATTAGCATTTGATTTTGGTATTTGGTTCATTCTAAAAAATTTAAGTTGTTTTTTTCTTTGTTATTCAAATGTGATTTGAGGACATTATTTAATGTAAAAAGTACTTTTGTAAGTGCTTTTTGAGTCTTGAAGCCTGTTATACATAAAAAAAAAAATTTAAAACTCAACTTACCTAAACTTTTACATAAAATAAAAATAAAAATGGGTGATGACTGATGATGTGTGTTACCTTGTTGAACACATGTATGAATGAGCAGCCAATTTTCCATGGTAGGGACCTCTGAAATGAGTAAAATAACAGCCATGACATGTGTCATTACTCTTTTCCACAAACAAAGTCTGCGATCTCTCCCATTTTATTTTGTTCTTCGCAGCAAGCAAGGTACAGGTTGCTTAATGCATGCTTTCAAAACACTTTCAAAATCAGCTGCCAAAACTCATCCACCCTCCATCTAACACTCTATGCTAAGTCAAATATTTTTTTGCCCTATTTTTCTCTCTTTTTCTCTTTTACAGATAATATATTATTATATTCTCGTTTCAGATTACATGCAGTTAGATCCACTTTATAGGAGTATTTATAGGTTGAGTTAGGATAAATTCATTTTAGTTTAATTTTAACTCAATTTTTTTATGTGTGTTTTTCCCTATCACATGTATTTTTATTAATTTACTAGATTAAAGACTAATTAGTCGCGATGTAACTGCATGGCATTTTCATCCTTTTTCCCTCCCTTACATGACTTTTTTTGAATCTTGTTCCGGCGTAAGAACACTCTTCTTCTTGATCCTTCCTAGTTGCCTTCAAGTCCTTCTGAATCTTCCGTATTGACCAAACACTAGCTCCACGTGGTGGGGGAGGGTACCTGCACAGGCACTCCGACGATCAAGTCAGTGTTCGGTTTAGAGCAATAAATGCATTAGCGGGAATAGTCGCGTACCTCCTTTATGTCACACCACCTGTATATTTATAGTGACATATGTGGGCCTGCTGGGCCTTCATCCTTGGGAAATGGGTAATACATAACTTAACCTTAATCCTGTCTTAATCTGGTATGGTAATTAATGCAAAGTAGGCAGTTGGTTTGCCACGTGTTTATCATAGGCTCTTTCTTCAGGTTCTCGGCCAAGCGTGGGGCCGAAGGGGTGTTCGGCCAAGCTTGGGGCCGAAGGGGTGTTTTGAATAGCTTCAGATCCCTTCTCTTTGGGTTTTTGGCTACTCACGAGATCGAGGGAGTGTTCGGCCAAGCTTGGGGCCGAAGGGGTGTTTCATTCGGCTAGGGCATTCCTTTCGGGCTATTTCCTGACCTGAGAGGGCAGTTGGTGTGGCTCCTTGGTTCGGGCCCCCCTCTCGGCCTATTGTTCGACCGAAGGGGTGCCAACTGGTGCGTTTCATTAGTTTAGGCGCCCCTTTCGGCCTATTGCATGACCGAAAGGGTGCCTACTAGTACAAATCTGTTACTAGATTTGCTTTTAGAGTTTTCAAAATCATCGGTTTAAAACTTTGGTTATCCACTTTTCTTCGCCCGCAAAACTTTCTGGAAGACTCATTTTAATTAATAAGAATATTTGTTCCTCTAACTTGAAGGATGCGTTTTAAAGAATAAAGAGGTATATTGTCGTCGTTAATTTGAAAACTTAATTGTTGAAACTTGAAATTTAAACAACTATATTAGTTATTAAATAATTGCATGTATTTAATTACAACATTAATTAAATTATTAACTTTCAATTTATGATTTTTCTAAATTAAACCGTTGTTATAGAGCAAAGTCGATTTCTTTTAATGATATAAAGTTTGTAACTTGAATATAACTAATATATATACACGATTTCGTAATTAGAGCGTATTCAATAAGTAATAGAGAAAATTTTATATTACAAATAACTTATTATAATGTTGCCTCCTTGTTTCGCTTGTATAGGACATGTATATCCAAAAATAAATTAAAAAAAATAAAAAACAATTGCTATTTATTTTGAGTGATTCTCTAAATCGTGAAATATATCAAATAATCTTGAGGAT